TGACTTTGACATTTTTGTGTTCCAGATTTTTTCCTGGTCTCTACCTAACTCCTGGACACGCGAACCCAACAGGGACACAAAGGTTTTCAAAATACTCAGTTTTAATGGTAAAATATTTACATACCTGTTTTTTGCATCTAATTAAAATAGAAGGGAGCTGCTACCATTTCTACCTTAAAAGATGTGAACTCTTGAAAATCTTTCCAAAGGTCTGGGAATGGAGCATCCATGTCCCACGGAGAAATCACAGTGCAGAACCGTGGGCAGGGAGTGCGCCACAGGCCATGCCTTCTCTCTGCACCTGGATCCAACCTGCCACACCTGCTGTCATCCCTTCCCTTTGAACCACAAAGGACTGAACACTCTTACGTAGACTGTCTTTGCTGTCTTGTGGAATTTGCTCTTCGTTATTTACGGGTTTCAGCCAGGAAACACTTTGAGATTTCTTGGCTTACTCTCCCCATCCCCCAAAAAACCTAAAGTGTTGATTTTTCCTTTATATTCTCTTTAGAGAGAATTTGATGGCATTTCCAAACACACAGCACAACCACTAGGCTTTACTACCTGCCAATACTTATATTATGGATTATTCAACCAATAGTCAAAGAGCATCTTCTTTGTGATCATCTTCTTTGAGAATACCGAGTGCGCTTCTAGCATCTCATCAGTACAGACAACTCCCACATAAATCACCTTATTTTAACCTCACTACAACCCTCTTCGGGGAGCATTTACTTTATTCTGATTTTATAGATGATATTTAGCACCGACAGTTTAGGTCACCAGGAATTTTTAAATTACATGAAGACATTAAGAAGCATGCAAATAAATCAAGTGAACTCACTCTAATTTGGGGATTGAATATTTATAAATACCACTGCCTTCGCCTTTTCATTTCTCCGTGTGGGTGACTAGGATCGACTGCCACTGGGAAAGGGATATAGATGGCTTCTCCCTCTTGCAACATGAAGAACCCACTGAGACGGGTATCAGGGCTCATGTGGCCTCAGCCCCAGGGACATCCGTGCACGGATGCTGCCCGCCAGATCTCTTCCCAGAACCGGACACAGGTGATTCCGTCTCTACTCGAACATCTCCTTTGGACATTGTCAGGTGTTTCAAGCTGAGGAACACCCAACCCTCACCCATACACCCCCCCTCACGCTCCATCTCAGGAAACGGGGGCATTTTCCTCTCACGGCTGCGGGGTGGGTGTGCTTCCCAAATTCCCCGGATTCTGCAGCTTCACAGCCTGCCCAGAGATGCCATATTATGTAATGAACCATTTTATTTTTACATGTAAGGATTCAGAGGGTTGCACTCCCTGCTTTTTCGAGGGTGACTGCATCTTCATATTTCAGTTTTTGGAGAGATGCACACAAAGTTCGTTAATATCCGGCTTCGTTAAACCCGAGGCTACTGGTGAACGTGTGCGGGGCTCACTCCGCCTCCCAGCGCCCCGCGTCCCAGAAACTACTTCCTAGACTCATCTGGGGCTGTGCCGTCTCTTTACAAGTTAACAGCGAGAACCAAACTAGCTCCAAGGGGCCTCACGCTTCTCTTTCCGTCAACAAAACCCTCTTGATCACAGGAAGTCGCTGCTGGTGACCCTGAGACGGGCACGGGGACCTGGGTGGTCACCTTCTGCAGAGATCCTGAATGAGGAGGGGCCACAAAAGAAACAGCGGCTAGGAAGGACCTTTGTTTCAAAGAGACCTGGACACCGGGCAGCCCTAGGAGGGGTCCGGGAGGGAGGCTCCCTGCGACTAAGGCAGGGCTCTGTCTCTGGGGAATCCGAAGTCAGGTCACGGCGGAGACATTGGTCAGAGAGACACAGAGACAGGGAGACAGAGACCAAGAGAGACAGAGAGACAGAGACAGGGAGACCAGGGGAGGGTGGAGAGGCCCCATGCGGGCATGGTGCCATGTTGTGGTGACCAGTCTGCGAGTGTTAGTTCTGTCCTAAGACAACAGAAAGAGGGCCAGTCTCAGCAGACGAGGCTGTGCTCACGGGGCAGCGCCCCCGGCCCGGCCCGGCCCCCGCCTGCACCTCCGGCCCCAGCAGCATGGTGGCCTGCAGGGACACCATGCACCGTGCTGCGGCAGAAGTCACCCACGTCTGAGATACCAGCTGGATTCCATACCTGCAACTGAGCCTCGTAAACCCAGGTATGAGGAAAAAGCAGCAGGTTTAACTCGAGAGTCAGACGCATCAGGATCTCCTGGAACGACTGGTCTCATCCACGTGCCATCCGGTGCAGGCGCCGTGCTCATCTTCTGTGAGCTGCCCAAGCAAGCACAGAATGAATAGCTCCAAACTCGTGTGTCAACAGATCTCCTGACTCAGCCAGCCATGAAGGAGCCGTGAGGGAGGCTGTGTCCTTGCTTCGTTACGTCTTCCCAGGTAGGTCAGCACATTTAAAACAGGTTTTGGAGGCCCGCTCTAGGACACGAATCTAGACACAATACCTGGGGGGATGCTCACTTCAAGCCGAGCCCCCCGCCCCCCGGCACAGGGATAGGTGGGTCTACGCGGGGCCAGGTGCCCGCCTGTGTGGGGCGTTGTGAACGGCTGGAGCTCTCTGGTCTGAGAGGGACTCAGGCATCCCGGCAGAGCTCGGCGGCTGGCCGACGCCACCAGACTCCTTCCAGAGATGACGTGGGGCCTCCTAAGCACCATGCTAGAACCGAATGTCTAGAAAATTGAATTTCCCCTTCAGTTCAGGGTCATTAATGCAGAGATCCACCCACAAGGCCTGTCCTTGCAGCTTTTAGATGCTTTTTAAGAATGTTCCAGTAGTAAATACAGTGAATGCGTGATCTCTAAGGAGCCGATTTTGACTAAAATTATCAAAAATAGCCCCCTCAGTTATACTTATTTACTATTTACCCATGAATTTCATTCAAGCAAGACTCAAATGAGGAAACAGATGAACATACAGGTAAAAATTAGACTAGATTCTTCTATTTCCTCTCGTTTATATCAAATAAATACCCCCAATGAAATGGTGACAGTGGACTAAAGCGGTGTTGGGACCATGCACCTCACCAACACCTGTAGGACCAGAGTCTCAGGCTCTGATGACTGGACACACAGAAGCGTACTTGGGGAGCTTTGAGGGGACTTACAGACCCATGACTTTCCTGGCACGTATCTCTGGGAGGCTGGGATTAAGTTCATGCATGCCTTGCTGGGTCACGTGCGGTAACACGAGCTGTACCACCTTGGGGAGCAATACAACTTGGGAGAAACCCCCAGAAAGACGCCTAACAGGTTTACCTAGTTTTCCAACAGTTGTTGACAAGGCCCTTTCCTGTGCACACCTCCCGGGTGCAGGAACCCAGGTCCCACGGAGGCCCCACGGGCCCCACGGCTACAGGTGAAACGGACAGCCCAGCCCTTCCCTGAGTCGGTGCTGGGGGTCTCCTCCGCCCCCCACCGGGGGGGTCCCTGGCCGGCACATCAGTGTCTTCCAAGCCTCACATTCCCTGGCACAGACAGGGGTCCCTGCCCTCAAGGACTGTGCCAGCCAGTCAGACGTGCCCCTCTGGGGCTTGAATGTGAAAACACACCACAAGTTCAGCAGAGGCCAGCAGGAATGGAAGCTGACAGGACAGGGGAAGAGTGGTGCAGCCTCTATGGGCCCGTTCTTCCAGCGGGTGCCGGACTTGACTCCAACTTGATGTGTGGGGCGCGAGCAGACCAGAGAGGGTTGGTGACCTGCCCCAGATCACACAGCTTTATCCCCGAATCCTGGACCAGATCGCAGTTTGCTGGATGACGGTCCATAAGGCGGCAGCCGTGGTGCCCGGCCAATGCAGCCACAGACAAGGGCCCCGCAGTAGGTAAGGAGCAGGCAGAGACCAAGAGCGAGGAGAAAGAGTGCGTGAGCCTGAGACAGTGCGACCTGGGGGCTGGGTAGGGCAGCAGGTGCATGCGTGCAGGAGCAAGCATTCAGGGCAAGTCCCAGGTGGCACAAGGGCCGATGCTCCAGGTCCCCGCAGCTGAGGATGGGATAAGCCGGGTCATGTTCACGCAGGGCTGGCCAGGACAGGCCAAGCTGTGCGAGCACTCTGCACGTGTGCATTTGCTCCTCGGCCATGTGTGCCAGGTGCTGCACCATAAACTCCATCTGAGCCCGGGAGCGGCCTCCCATCCACCCCGGTCTCCAGGCGTGCCGCAGCCTGCTGCCTCCCAGACACACAGCGAGCTGTGAGATTCAGGTCCGCTCACTGGGAAGATCAGCACGGACTCCCTGGAGGAGAACCCGGGATGTACCAGCCGCGTCCGGAGAGACGGCTCCGCTCAGCGCCCCCTCTGCGGGCACAGGTGGGCAGGTCTCAGCACCCCGACAGGGACTTGTGCCTGGAGGCACAGAGATGCACGGGGAGACCAAACCCCACGTTTCCAGCCAACGGCACAGCCACAGGCCCTCTGTCCCGGGCAGAGGCACTTCCTGCAGCTCGGGCGTCTGGTTCTCTGGAGCCCTGGCGGTGACAGAGCCATGATCCTCATCCCAGGTACCCCTGCATTTCCTAAACATCATGTACAGGTCGTGAAGTACAGTTTGAAAAGTACCGCTTTGTGAATGGGTCTTACAGACTCTGCCCTGGAATTCCACGCCAGGCCACACACTGGGAGCCACGGTGGGGGTACCATCCGCCTTCACGGGGCCCTCCCCACTGGGAGGGAGCAGCCTGCTCTGTGTCCACACTCTCTGGCCCTTCCTGCACATGCCAGAACCATCACGGCAGAGCACGGCCTGCGACCCGGTCCCAGCTCAGACCTGGGGCCCAAGTGACTGCTAACCGTGATTATGCCGGGACAGCACTGAGATCAGGAGGGGCCGTGCCGCTGGGACCGCAGTCACCTCAGGGTTCCCCGACCCGGCCGTGCCCCAGACCCCAGGGTGCCCGGGGTCCTCAGGAAGTGGGACGAGAAATGTCACAGAGAACCTCAACTATCAGCGGGAAAAATAACTGGGAACAACCTGCGGTCCTGCGAGGGGCGCCTCTGGTCTCAGGCACTGAGCTGACCGTGCTAAACCGGGTGGAGGCGAGGCTCTTTCTCCTGCGCATCAGGGCCTGAGCCTGCCCTGAGTCTCCCTCTGTAACAGGGACATGTGAGCATCTCTGTTAGGACTGCGGACGGACGGTCCCTCCCCTGGGTTCACCAGCCCCACTCCCCACTCCTGCAGAGCCCAAAGTGAGCCCCATGTTAGTGAGGTTTCTTTCTGTGTTAGGTTTCAAATTCTCTCCTACTTGTCTTTGTCAGGCAAAACCACCTAATATTACATTAGCAACAAATGTTAAGAAAAATCAGTACATTTGTTTGAGGAGAATTCTATGATTGTTTTTTAAAAAAAATTTAGATGACTCTTTAACCTCAGTAAATTCACAGCACTAGCTTATCAAAACCCATACAACCCGGTGCCCTGGTTGTTCCAGGGACAGAGGAGAGTGTCAGGTACGTGGGGAGGACTGGTGGTCTATGGTGTTGTTATTAGGGACACCCACTCCTGAGCTTCTAGTTTCCACAAATGTCCTAGGGTCACACTCAGTGTCAACCTCTGGGGAAACTGGGACACAGGAATTCTCCATACTGGACGAGCAACTGCTTTAACTCCTCACTGGGCGGGGCACACGTTATATTTGGTCCCTTCTGGGAAGTGGTGTCCGTGATGACGATACAATTGTAAACTACGGCATTTAGCATCGGGTCTACGTGATGGGCGCTGCTGAATCAGGCTGTTTGGTTATTTTAATAAAACAGGGGGATGTGAAGGAAAGAGTGACTTTTTAAATTTCATTTTCTGGCCATTAACTCAGAATGTGTGAAGAGAAGGGTTTTGTGCTGTTTTGTGTGTGACGCTCCGAGAAAAGCCTTCTGCACCCCCGCTTCCCAGCCAGCTGGTGTGTGAGCAGGAGAGTGGCGGGGTCTGGCCCCTCTGTGTCTGGCCTCCGGCAGACACCACATCCCAAGCTGCTTCTCCGCAGCAGCCCCTCCCCAGGGAGTCCCGGCGTCCTTACCGGAGGGGTGCTGAACACGTGGAGGGACGAGCCTTTCAGGGCCAGGAACTTGGATCGGAAGGTATGACAGGAGCCAGTGCCTTCGAGTCTCTCGCTGACCCATCCCATATGCACAACCTGCAGAGGAAAACCCTTGAAATTAAACCCAAGCCGTAGTGAGTGTGCACTGGGGCTAGAAGGAACAGACAATGGGCACTCAGAACCAGTGGGTTTCCTAATGCTCAAACCAAACAGACGGCTGGGAGCGCGAGCGTATGAGAGGAACACCCACAGTTCCACACCGGCCAGGAGCGTCTCTGGGAGCGTCTGCGCCCCACAGGGTCCTCGGCTGCAGTAGAGTTGTGCCCCCCCGTGTATATTTAAAACACAGCATTAAATTACACTCTATTTGGGGCTAGTATCACAGATTTGTCTACGAGGTTGTAGCTGCCGACAGCTGTATCCTCCATTGCTACAGTAAACACAGAGTTGACCTACGTGGAAATCCTGATTTTCTTTACAGTCCAACTTCCTAATACAAAGGCACAAAACACAAGTTGTAACAAATCAGAATAGGATTCAAAAAGTTAATGAAAACAATAACATAATTAAAGTGTTCAGGGCATGAATTCAAATGAATGTCAGTCCCCGTGTCTTACCTGAACCATTAATGTTGCACACACAGTAGGGAGTAAGGCTTTAAAATAACTTGTGCATTTCAGTAAAACTAAAAGGGAATCTTCACAGACATGCCAGCCACCTTGTGCAATACACCTGTCCTAGGAGCTGCTTCAAGGTGGGGACACCTGGCAGGGGGAGGGGGGTGCTAACCCAGCCTGGGCTCAGGTGGGCTGTCCCCGCTGCTGCGGTCTGCAGGACAAACCCCTGACAGCTTTCACTCCAACTCTGGTGAAAGATGTCCTGGGTCAAGATGCCAGATGGAATTTTACAGAAAGAAATTTTATAAAAATCAGATTGTTCATAATCCAAAACATCTATAAATTGCATGTGAACTTAATGACATTTCATATGTAATTTAATTCTCCCTAGATCAATTAGCAAAGAGATAAATTATAGCTTAGCTATTAATGGAAACATTACCTGCTTTATGAATCTTTTTTAGGTATTTGTAGTTCATAAATAATTTTAAGGTTAGCTAATTTTATCTTTTACATTATGAATTTTCTAATGGCTTATTACGTGTTCCAAAAAACGTATATTATAATTTTATGAACACCTACCTAATTATATCACTGTAATTAAATTAAGAGGACATAACCATTATAATAAATGAGCATATTTTCATTTATCTTTTCTGATGCCATTTCTATAGAAAAGTCTTTCTTTTTTCCCACTTGAGTGAGTTGAGATAATTAGCTAAGTGTCCATCAGATGATACTGTACAGCTCATCCTTTACACAGAAAAAGCCCATATTCCTGAGATTTAGGTTTCTTTTGGATTTGGTGAGTAAGGTATTCATATTTCGCTTTAATTCAGGTTTTCCAGGTGAATTTTAGTTCGGAAATGTACAGAGCTACTTGCTATCTTTGCAGGGAACAAGTGTTTCGGCTTGCCCAGGACAATTTCAAATGCATGCCTGTCACTTTTAGGCTGGCCATCATCCCAGAAGGACAGGCCTCTGTTTGGATGGCAAATTACACAATCATCTTATTCACTAAATATAAGAGTCTAAAAAAATCTATACTCCAGGCCTTTTGTATGATCTTCTGTTTTATATTTGTTTTTTCCAATGTCAGTACTTCGCAAATACATGTATGTTTTTCAAATATTTATCCAAATATTATGACTTTGCTACATACCAGAACCAGGAAAGAACTGTTTGGAATGAGAAAATCATTGCCTCTCATTCTTAAAGGGCCCAATGTCACAAATCTAAACTCCTGCAATATACACAAAATGTTTAGTTTTGGGGAAAAACGTGAGATAATCCTCTACCAAAAGCACAATGAGACACATCAGGCACAGTTCTTCAATAAACCCATGCAGTAAAACTCATCTCTAATATTTCTCCCCAAATATACTAATTTGAGCCCCTGACAAAAAAAGTTCAAAGTAATACAGAAATTTTCAGGTTAGAAAAAAGTCTTTAGATTACCCATTACAGTTCTCTTATTTTATGGAAGAAGAAAGTGTGGCTCAGATGTTAATCTGGCCAAATTATGTCACCAGGAAAGAGATTACTTGGGATCAGAAAGCAGCTGTTACTCAAACAGGGCCACGGAGACCAGCATCACACAAACATGGTTTAATGTGTGATAAAACTTCTCTGAGATAACCTGAGAGCACCATTACCCCACTGCCTCCAGGTCTCCGAACCCTAATTACTTCGTGTTCTCGGTATCAGGAGTTTTATTTCTTTGACCCTGTTTCCAGACTCTCTTGTGACTCAAACTAAAACAAAGCAGGCTTTGATTTCCTGATGTGCCAGGCAATCCGAGTATGCCCTGAAATGCCGAGGCATTTCCCCACCTACGAGAAGGTCCAACCCAGTGGCTGTGTTCTAACCCTCTAGTCAACATTCTATAATTAGGAAAGAAACTCTCAGGAAAGTTATTCTGAATGTAACTTTTATTTCTTGTAACATTTTTCTAAATTTATGATCAGCTCATCCCTACCCACTTACAGACCCAATGACCAGTGATCAGGAGCCCCGAATTGGGGAGTCAGCTCATCCCTATCCACTTAAAGACCCAGTGACTGGGAGCCCCAAATCGTAGAGTCAGCTAATTCCTATGCACTTATAGACCCAGTGACCAGGAGCCCCGAACTGGGGAGTCAGCTAATTCCTATGCACTTATAGACCCAGTGACCGGGAGCCCCCAGATTGGGAGTCAGCTCATCCCTACGCACTTATAGACCCAGTGACCGGGAGCCCCCAGATTGGGAGTCAGCTCATCCCTACGCACTTGCAGACCCAGTGACCCGGAGTCCCTGAACTGGGGAGTCAGCTCATCCCTACGCACTTACAGACCCAGTGACCGGGAGCCCCGAATTGGGGAGTCAGCTAATTTCTACGCACTTACAGACCCAGTGACCGGGAGCCCCCGGATTGGGAGTCAGCTCATCCCTACGCACTTACAGACCCAGTGACCGGGAACCCCGATCGGGCGTCAGCTCATCAGTGGCTGGCTCTGCCCTGAGAAGGAATGAACTGTGGATTCCCCACGAGGCAGCCCCGTCGGCAGGTCTGGGTCAATGTGCACATGCTGCCTGCACCGGGGCATGGGCTCCCACCCATCTGCTGGACAGCAGTCTCTCCAGGGCAAAGCTCTCCAAATGAGGGTGTTCTTAAGAAAATTACACAGTGCTTAAGTTTCAGATCATACAGTAGTGTCTCCAAAGTAAAACACCTCTCAGCTTAAACAATCACAACTACACTATTGTTTAACATTTCCTCAGAAAACCCAGGTGCCGAGAGCTCAGTTATAACCTGGACAGAGGACCAGAGCAATTCCTCCTGCACCGAGGACAAGGACCCTGACTTCTACCAAAATTCCCAATCAAGTTCCAAGACCAGGAGAAACTACTTTTAGAGACTTGTCATATGATCGACAAGAAAAACGCAGGACCTACCTGGTCACAAGGGGAAGAGCACTTATTCTCCGTCCTCACCTGTAGAGAGAAGGAAGCAAGAGAGTCAGTAGGACAAGAATATTAATGCCATCATTTTTCAACCTGTCGAATCAGCAACTGAAATTAATTAGCCGCAGGACGTGTCCTTGGGAACAAGCTTCTTCTACGATGCATTTCTTACCTAAAAACCAAATCATGTACCACAGCAATGGTACAGTAGAGAAAAACCCCACTATTTTTTTTAATATTCTTTTTTTTTTTAAGATTATATTTATTTGACAGAGAGAGACACAGCGAGAGGGAACACAAGCAGGGGGAGTGGGAGAGGGAGAAGCAGGCTTCCCGCCGAGCAGGGAGCCCGATGCGGGGCTCGATCCCAGGACCCTGGGATCATGACCTGAGCCGAAGGCAGTCACCCAACAACTGAGCCACCCAGGAGCCCAAAAAACCTCACTATTAACAGACTTACTCATTTTAAATACCAGTATTTTGTGTGAGTGAAGCTATGGGACAGGAAATGCTTAAATTTCAACATCTGTAAAAATGGGAAATGATTTCTGCTCTAGTAATCTTAGAGTTTCCCATCCCACGTGTGCTCCTTTACTTGCCTCTCCCAGAAATCCTGCACAGCAGCACTATTTCCAAAATTTTACCAGGGAGGAAGTGGAGGTCCAGAAGCATAACACGCAGAGTTGGAGTGCGGCTTTGAATCCACATAGCTGGTTCCCTTCTCTGGGCTCTGCCTGCCAGCTAGAATGTGTAAAATCACCCAGACCTGAGGGGCTCCCTGGTCACACGCACTCTTGAAATACCAAACTCCCACCACCGGCTAGTTCTTCCTTTTCCTTTAATCCATCCAGATACCTTTGGAATTCAAACTGTCACGTCTGAAAACTAAGGTCTGAGAGAGGTTCTGCTCTATAGAACAAGGCAGTGTGTGGGGAAGAAGAGAGGTGGCAGGGTGGCGAATGGGTGGTGGCGTGGGGATGGGCAGCGGGGTGGGCGGACAGGTGGCAGGGTGGCGAATGGGCCGTGGAGTAAGGGCTGGGCAGTGGGGTCCAAAGGCTGGTCCCGGGACTTCCTGCTACCTGCTTCCCTGGAACAGAAGCCTCAGGACACAAACAGTCCGTGGGCAGGTCACCTGGGAAGGAACTGATCAAAGGCCACTTTGGCCATGAACGAGTCCTTCCGGGGGCCTACAGCTCATTGGCAGCATACAGTGGTTCCTTTGGGAAGTTACTCTTAATTTGACTTCAACTCCCAGCCAGCTATTTTGTATTGACTTTGAACATCAAACAGATCCCTCAAGGAGACAGGGCACTTTTTCCTTCCTGGATACTTGCACTGAAACTTTGGGAAGACATCTTGCTGGGTGGATATGTGTCTTGTTTTCATAAAGTTACAGGGCATTCTGTCTTCAACCTCATTGGGGTCCCCCCGTTCCATCGATGCATTTGGGTAAAGTGTACGTGGTATTACACGTACATGAAAGGGTCTGTGCTTGTGCGGGGACAGGAGGAGAGAGAGGAAGGGATGGGGTGAGCATCCACATGTCTGATCGGGCACAGACTCTCACTCAGGAGACATGTGCAGGACTTAATTTTGAACTTGTTTTAATCAGAGATGTGGTATGTTGAAAAAAGTACATATTTCCTTGTTTAATCTTGTAACTAATTATTTTAGGGTTAATTATAAATAACAAAAAATATCAAATCATTTTTGTGGATTAAGTGCAAAAGCAGAAAGTCCTGGGAAGTCTGCTCACCCTCTGTCTTGTCAGGTCACTGATGTTCGCGGACACTGCTCTCAGCCAGTCGGCGCTCTCCTGGGCCGTGTGAAACCGCAGGATCCCCGTGCTGATCCCGTCCAGAGCCAGCACCTCGAATGCGCTGGACCTGCGGAAGAGGGGAGCCGCCCTGTGCACCAGCCCGAGCAGTTCGTGCACGCCCACAGAGCCTCCAGCGCTGCCCAGAGCCACACGGGGAGACGCGGCAGAGGCCGTGGTCACACTCCCAACCTGCTCCACTACGTATGTCCCCCAAAAGTAAGTTCAGAACTTTGAAATCCATCACGAATAGCTGTTTCTAATTCAGTAAAAAAATATGACAGTCAATTCGTGTAGGAAATGACTCTTGCTCTTTTAGGAATTTTGGAGTTCTTGTTTTATAGGGTCCTCAGTAATAATTCTTTCCGAGACCACTTACTGTGGTATTAAAGCTCTAGACACAATGAGGATGGGCACTCAAGCATCGCTACTAAACATCAACGCTATTTTATGACACACACATATTTCCGATTTACATTGAGCTTTCTAAGAAGTTGGTTCTTTCTTTTTTTCATAAAAATCAACGTGCCACAGACCTTCCCGTGGCAAATTATTTGTAACAGCAGGATGATCGTCTCTAATTCAGTAGTTCTTCCTTATCATGAAAGCCTTTTTCAAAGCTACTTCACATATAACTCTTGTGATCAACTGACTTGTGTCCCGGATTCACGTCCCCAGAGTGGATGTCTCGGGAGATGGGGGGGCCTCTGAGAAGGAGGTGAAGTCCAGGTCGAGCCCTGAGCCCGCAGGACCAGTGTCTTTACGGGAAGAGATGCCAGAGCTCTGTCCCCACCTGGGGAGGACACGACAACACAGCTGTCTGTCAGCCGAAAGAGGCTCTGACCAGCACCGGACCCGTGTGGGGACCGACGGGGACATCCAGGCTGCGAAGCCTGAGAACCTAAGTGTCTGCTGCTTACGCCCCTGAAGGTGGCACTTGGCTGTGCAGCCCCGGCTGACTGATACCACTATTATGGAACGAAATGTCATTTATGCTCCTGTTCCTTTTTCCTTAAGAAAACAGTGTGTATTAATCCATGGAGCCTACACCTTCATGTCCTTAAGCAAATAATGGAAAGTTTAAAAAATGAATGACAAAACAGGCATATTATTTTAAGAAACAAGGTCCACACTACGTTACATATTAATAACTTCAGCTGTGAATTTATTCATGGTTTTGTTAAGGACGGGAGGAGAGGACAGTGGGGACAGTGGGGTGTTACAGAGCCTCCCGCAGGCTCTCAAGCAGAGTCCCCCTTCTCTGGTGCACGCAGACACCCTCGACCACTTGTTGGCCCCCAACCCTCGACCTCGCATCCGCCCCCGACCCTCGACCTCGTGTCCACCCCTGTGGCCCCCTGGACCTCACGTCTGCCCCGGGGTCCCCAGACCTCACATCCACCCCCGACCCTGACCTCACATCCACCCCTGGGCCCCCCCCACGACC